ATTGTATTGTCATTTTTCTATCAGCAAATTAATTTTTTAAGTCTTTTGGAAAATTTCTGACTTATGTTTTGAAGTGTTTGATGGTGGTATTTTTAATGGTGATGATAAGATAGGAGTCGAGCAAATGTAGAGCGAGTAATTATTTGCGGCTGAGAGAAGTTAGTTAAGATAGTTAAGGATTGCCGTTGGGGTGAGTGGTTTGTGTTTATGAAATGTTGAGTTTGAGTATGAGATTGAAGTGTAATGAAGAATGTTGATTTCAGTGCGGAGTAATGAAGTAATGCTTGTGAGGGAAACGAACGATGATGCTTATGTTTGTATAGGTTATTGAATATAAATGGATGGTAGTGATGGAATGATGCATCGTGTTTGTTCGGTGCAACATCAATCAGTTTTTGTACAATTTCTATGATTGCTACGATTATTTTCATTTTATAGTGTGGTGTTTTATTGATATTACTATGCTAAGCGTTGTTATGTAAATCATTAGTATTGTCACCACTATCATCATTATGGATGGATGCATTAGCACGTTTTTGATTTGATTATCAGTATGCAGCAGAATAATGTTAATCGGAGTTTTCACTGTTTTCTCGAGTGAATATGAGAGCAAGTGTTTTTGTGGTGAAATTTGTTGATCTGCAAGTAGAATTTAGTTTCGTTTCGATTTCGTTTCATCGTGTATATNGAGATTCATTAGTTTGTTGTATTTTATTTGAGAGCAGATTGGATTTTTCAGTTTTTCTTAATAAGCAGTAAGAAAAATGGTGATTAGAGAAGAAACGAAAATAACTTTCATTATTTAGTTTGTTATGGAATGAAATTTGAGCAGTTTAGGGATAGTTAATAGGTAGATAATTAATTGTTCCGTATGAAATGCATTATAATATCCGACGGTGACGACGATTTTCGTGTAGTTTTTTTGTTTTGTTTTGTTTAAACAGTTTCTCTGTTGTGTGCTGTTCAATGGTTTGAGTTTAGGAGATCGTATTAGATTGTGAATAAATTTGATTTTATATAAGCAAATTGTATTGTCAATGTGTCGTGAAATAAAGGTGTTTTTTTTTGGTTGCGGAACCTGTTTTGCTATATCTTGAGCATTTACAAATCATGCATGCATGTATGTATATGGCTTTATTAACAGCACGGATGAATTATTTATTATAGTGTTTAGATGAAAATTTTGAACTGAAATTCGAAAGATGAGAATCTTTGAGATCGTAAAACAGTCATCTATAATTTAATGCAGAGCGAGAAGTCACGAAGGAGCATAGGTATAATACTTTAGCGGTGAAGAAGATGTAGAATCTGGGAGATTGACAATGAGAGATGTCATATTGAAGAGCGTAAGTTGAAGTTTTGATTAGTTCTGTTTAAGAAATGGTTTGGATAAATTTATAGTGCAAGAGATTGTTATGGTGGTTCGTTTAAAACATTATTGTGATGTTTCATTCCGAACTTGATTAGGTGGAATTCATATAGGTACGGATTTGACTTTAAAATCGCAGTAGATGGAAAGTATATCTTATTGTTAATAAGCAGCCACGTACATATCAATGTAAACAGATGCAGAATCGTAGATTAACATGAAACATTAGCATATTGTGCAGATCACAATGAGGATTCTTTTGTGTGGAAACAATTGGGGAATCGTCCCGAGACGATTCCTTAAAACAATGCGATCGTACGATGTACGCGAGTCGTTTTTGAAGTACTTCATCGCCAGAGGACATACGCATGTGCCATCCACATCAATTGTACCCGTCGATGACCCATCGCTACTGTTCGTGACGGCTGGAATGAATCAGGTTTCTTTGTCAGGTTTTTATCCGAATTGATGGCCCAATATTAAACTGATAGCTAAAAATGTTAGCAAGAGAATATGCTTACCACCATTTAATGTATGCGTCAATTTTAATGTTATACTAAAGCTATCGATGAGGGAAGGTGTTTGCTTATTTATTTCATTATTCATCACAAAATTCTCAAAAAGTTCCCCCACTGAACCTGAAAGCAATTCAAAACCATTAGAAGTTTCCATAAACGATGGAAAGTTTTCTCACAATATACTGCAGTGAATTCACGTTGACAAGCGATTTTCTCACTCGATCTCTATAATGGTCATTATTTTCATTGAAAGTTTGTCTCGATCGCATCATACTGATAAGCGATATGAATGATGCAGTGGTTACAATTAACTGAATATGAATGAAGGAAACGACCGAGTTCAGATGTATAGTTTGCTGATCAAGTGGATAAGCTGCATTTCAGAGAGAAAAATTAGAAAGGTCCAAGAATAATTTCAGTTTAAATCGATTCTGTTGGGTGGAAACGATGCGAACGATCGTCGTCGTCGTCGTCTTGTTGATGAGAAAGGAGAACCACTGAAACGAGCCGTGAATTCGCAGAAGTGCTTTCGTGCCGGTGGTAAACACAACGATCTAGCGGACGTTGGACAAGACACTACTCATCATACATTCTTTGAGATGTTAGGCAATTGGTCATTTGGTGATTACTTCAAAGTTGGTTTCTTCAAATGTGATGATTTAGCATTCATCGTTCAATATTTTCAAATTTCTTATTGATTCTCCCACTTCAAATTGATCAAATGAACTGATTCAATAGAGCGCATAAACTGCAGCATATTGAAAATACTGCAAAAAGAAGCTTATCGCTTATGGATCATGAAATTTATTCTTGAAATTAATCGGAATTCATAATCTGCCATTGGATATTTCTTCTGCGAGAAGTGACAGTTACAGTGAGAATGCACGATTCTTCTGATGAATTGTATTGTGTGTTTGTAAGCTGGAATAAGGCTAAAATCAATGGTTTTATATCATTATATTTTCTTGATTTAATCTTACGAATGAATTTCCAGCGAGAGGCATGCCACTTTGCATGGGAGTATCTCACTGAAGTGTTGGAGCTTCCAGCTGATCGTATTTATGTGACTTATTTTGGTGGCGATAAACGTCTAGGATTACAAGAGGACGTGGAATGTCGCGAGATCTGGCGCAGTATCGGGTTCGTCTCAAATCTTCGATTGAGTCAATGACTTTCAAAAGAATAACCATGGTTTCTGTTGTTTTCGACGTAGCACATTTACGGATGCTAGTAGGGAAAATGCGAATAATAAAGTGATAAGAATATCAATAAAATACCAAAAGCGCATCTGCTGATACCAAAAATACCGATAAAAATACCAGTAAAGGAAAAATACCAAACGGTAGAAATGATTTGTCTTCGATTCTCGTTCACTTGAAATTATCAATGTTTCGGCTGTCAAACATACTCACTTGTATGTGTGTTTATTACGGCTGTGTTTACTTTACTGTTTACTTGATAATAAAAAGGTTGGGTTGGAAGCAATTTACAACGTTTTGAAAATTTCCTAAGAAAAATGCAAAAGCATATCGGACAGTCTAATATTATTGCTATTGTTATAATTGATATTTTAATTATCATAATTACTGCTGTTATAATTTGTTTCAATGTTGTTGTTGTTCGCTTGCTCAACTTGCAATCCAGTCTATACGATCAGGGTGAATCGCCGTCGAATTCTGCCGTTCGATGGGAAGGATAATTTTTGGGAGATGGCCGATACGGGTCCGTGTGGTGAATGCTCAGAGATACATTTCGATACGATCGGCGATCGTGATGCATCACATCTGGTGAACAGCAAACGGGACGCGAGTGTTATCGAAATATGGAATCTTGTTTTTATGCAATACAATAGGTGGGACATATTATTGTTACATGGACATCGAGTGGTTGTTTCGTCAATCGCTGCGAGCGATCGGTGGAATGTTTATTTTAT